GAGGGCCGGCCGCCCGGGGCGGCTGCCCCGAGCGAGCTACGGGTGCAGCCCGTCCCGTAATGTCACGGTCAGCACGGAGGGGGAAGGTTTGCTGAGGAGGGGGAGCTGCTGTGGGGTTCCTGCTGGGGTTCCTCTGGCTCCTCCCTGCTCCCGAGGGCTGCTCTCCCGTCGGTTGTGACGGCTGGCTATTCACTGGGCTGAGTACAGCTCCGTACACCTTTGGTGGTACCAGTGCTGTTCCATTAAATTGTTTTCACTTCCAACCACTGGTCTGCTCTCCTTTCCCCACCTCTCCTCTGTGGGTAGTGAGGGGTTGTTGGGTGATAGAGCAACTGTTACAGTTTAGCCCCAGGAACAGGTTAAATGCAGACCATCTGTTGGGTCTTGTGTCCCACGACATACTGCTGCTCCACGAAGGGAACGGGGTCTTTCGCGTGTGTAGTGCTGTGCAGTGGCCTCTGTCCCTTGCCGGGGCCAGCGTGCCATACACGGGTGACCCTCCTGATCTGAGATCCTGAGTTTAACACTCCTCTAGGAAGTGCAGTCAGTCCTTCCTTGGTGCTTCGCTTTCTGTGTGGTGTTTGTTTGATTTTTGTAATGTTCTCTTGTGAAATGACATAATGCATGTGGTTTGCACCAGGAAAGAAAAACTTAGGTGGTCTCGGGTGTGGAATTTGGTGTCTGAGTATGTGGCTTCGGGATGTGGAAAACATGGCTGTGGCTGGAGTACATGATGGTTGTACGAGGAGAGCTGAGCAGACTTCTCTTGGCTGATTTGGCTGTAGGGTGCGGAGCGGGGAGAGACATCACTGAGGACAGAAATACAGGGGTATTTACTCAGGACTTTGCCATGTGTGTTTAGGGTAAAGCTGGAGCTCCTCCAGAGGAATTTTTTGGCCAGCACCTTTAGGTGTGTTTAACAAATGAAGACACTAAAGATTTTTTTCAGGCTGACTCGGAACAAACCTTGTGATGCACATGTGTCCGTCAAGAAATCCAGCTTAAAAGGAGAAAGCGGTTTTCATGCTTGTGTGTGTAAAATCTAGAGGGGTTGCGCAGGGTGACCGTGCTTTTGCTGCGGTAGTTCTGTGTGTGTGTCTTGGGATAGTTTTTAGTGAAATTATTTCGTTCTTTCAGTGAGTCAAATGGCAGATGTTACTGACTTAATTTTTCTTTATTTCTGCTGGTTCATTGCTGTCTTTCTGAAGTGGACAGATTCTTTAGCTGAATTGTTAGTGCAATGTTTTGATAGTCCTGTATTTATTTTTTAAAAAAACAAAACAAGCCACAGTTTTATTACAGAAGATGTTAAAATGTATTATTTCTTTGTTAGGTAAAGAAGAATGGATTATCAGAAGCGATCAGCCAGGAAGAAAGGAAAAGACAGGAGGTACTGTTTAGAGTAACCCATTCTTTGTCGTTGATGGTTTAGGGATGCACTCCATGCCTGACGTTATACTCTGTTGATAAGGAGACAAGTTCATTGCACTGCCTCCTGTCCTGGGGTGAAGGGTCTTCTCTCCCCAGGGAGAGCACGTAAACCAAACCTGTGTATTGCCGGTGTGCCCCTGTCCCTGCCGCGGGTCTCCTGCCAGCATCCTGCGGGTGGGGTGGTTCCTAGGTACGCTGGCTCCACGGGGGCTCGGGCTGCCCCGCAGCAGCAGCCGGTCACTGCTGCGTGCTGCACTGGGGAAGGTGGAAAATTAACCTGGCGTTCACAGAGGGTAGGAGGTGACACAAATTGTTAAAGGCAGCGAGGAGTAAAGGACAGCTTTTCACAGTGCCCCTCAGTTGTGACTAACCCTGTGAACAGTTGTGAACATGCAAGCGCTGTGTGCCTGGTGTAACCACCGTTTCTCCTTTCACACTGAGGCGGGGTAGGTGCAGCCGTGCTGTCGGCAGTACAGACAACGGCAGCAGTTACTGATGCAGTCACCGTTTCTCTGTCTCTTCCCCCTCTGCTCCTCTTGTCCTCTTTATCCACCTCTCTCTGCTCCTTATGTCATTTCATCTGCTTTACCCTCCTGCCTTACTTACAGGGGCTGTATCAAAATGAAGGTGTTGAAAATAGCCTGACCTAGCCAGCTTTGTACCTGCAGTTCTTGAGGCATGTCCTTCGCTAGGAGAAGAGCCCAAGGGTTTTTGAGTAGGAACATTGTGGGGTCACCTGCCGTGGTAATTGGTTCCAGTACCTTCATTTTGCTTCAGGACATACCTCAGTGAACGCAGCCGAGTGAGACCCCACCGGGGTTGCTGTGAAGCTCCCAGATGTGTATGGCAAGCCTCAACTGCTGGTTGAGCTGCATGACCTACAGCTGCTGTGTGCCTACGCGAAATACAGAAACATCTTGTATTGCACACGGGAGGTTTAGACAGCAGTTTGTTGGGATTTTTCATAACACTGCGTTTCTTTGGCTATCTTCTTTTGCTTTTTCGGGGGAAGAGGCTGTGCAGCAGTTCAGGCCACGTGTTCTGCTTTTCTGTCTCCTCTCACTGGGTGCCTTGGAGACACAAGGCATTTATTTCAGTCACATCCTTTAGGAGCCTTTAGTCTATGTTTCCTGGAGTCATATTTACATCCCTTCAAAGAGAACAAGTTTGTTAGATGGCTTTAAATGTAAACATGAGGGGGTTTAATCTGAATATTACAGGCCCATTCCTTCAGAGGGAGCCTAAATAAATATTCTTAGGGTGTAGTCATACTACCAAGTTGTGCTTTTGCTGTATTTCTTTTAAATTGCCTTCTATCAATTATTCTTTATCTATTCTTTAAATTGCTTTTTAGAGCCTGTTAGGTTATTTTTGCAATCATAATATATTGTCACTGCAGAAGAATGTATTTGTTTGCTTTCTACCTTGATTGAATGTCAGTGTTGTGCATTCATATGCATCCCATCCTTCAGAACACGTTAGTGAGGTGGATCCTTTGTCTCAAGGAAAGGTGTCATATAGACAGACTGGTTTGAACTGAAATAGTTTTTGATAGATCTTTTATTGCAAGCTGGAAACGCGGTAACTGTGTGTGTGTGCAAACTGCAGGATGCTTCTGGCCTCTGCAGAGTGTTTACTGTCCATTAGCATTCACACATCTGCTTACCTTGGTGCCATGCAAACGAAGCATAGGTGTTTCGGATGTCTTTCAGAAACACTGTTAGCAAGCACCTGGTAAATGCCACCTCAGCCTCTGCATGTGGTGTCGTTACTGTCTGTCAAAGTTAAGGATGTTTCTTAAGCCTTTTTTATTTTTTATTCTCCAAAATGTGTTTGGATCGCGGTAAGATGATGTTCTCTCCCTTCCTTACATATTAGAAGTCAAGTATTTTTCTTTGTCCCATTTATTTCTGACTATGCTAATAACTTTCTGTTACCAAACTGGAAGAGGTCCATGAGGGTCCTCAGTAAAAGCATAAACAAAACCCATCCAAAACAATAATAATGAGATCTTGTATATTTTCCTGTGTTGAAAAACCTCTGGGTAGAAACCAGTTAGCTGTGGACCTCTGCAGCAGTTGCCAGGTAAATCCTGTCTTTGTGAGCACAGCTGGGAGAAGTACAATGAGACGAAGGTTGGAACTGTAACTGCTGGGCAAAGGCTAAAATGCCCCTTTTGGACACCTTTCTGCACGCTGTTAGCCCGGCAGGAGGTGGCTTTGCTGCCAGCCTGTGGCTGACGTGTGTATGTTCTCTGCATTCTTGAGGCTGACAGAGTTGGCAGCGGGTGATTTAACGTTGTTTAAGCATCGCCTTTGCGTATCTTCTTGCACAGCAGGGTTCACTCTTGTGAATAACGTGGTGTGTTTAGCTGTTACCTGGCTGCTGCTGCGTCTCTTGCCAGATCCCTTCAGCTTTGTAGGCGGGTAATAAGATGGAGAGACTGGAGATCTGTACACTAGACTTGCTTTCCTTCTATGAATAATGGCCCTCTGGGTTTTCTGAGGAGTGCAGTCGTCTGTGCACTCCATAAGCCTTTAAGGCTTCAGCTAAAGCAGATTTTGTTTTGTCCTAAGAAATCCAGAACTTGTTATTTCATTATTAAAGTCCCAGTTCTTTAAAGAAGACTTTTTAGAAGGGCAAGAATAATTTTGAAAGCACATTCTGGGAACACTGAGGCTCAGGATACCCAAGAGACATGGTATTTGATCAAGAGCTTACCTTAATAACACTGGCAGAATTCACTAGGCTTGAAATCTTCAAGAAACGTTAGGAACAACTGTCCCCAGCAGAATGTTTTGCGGTTTTGTCCCGGTATTGTTTGTGTCGGTTGGAGGTTGGGAATATTCAGGAAGACTGCCTTCAACCTGCCTGCGGTCTCCCTTGCCTTTACACCTGGCGGTGGAAGAGCAGGGTTTCTCTAGAGCACGTCCTCAGACCCTCCTGTCGACTGGCAGCTGCCAGACCCTCCCTGTTGCCCTCTGTGCAGAGCCATGGGCATTAGCCTTTCCAAATACTCAGATCTGCACTGCTGCATTTAAAGTCTGTATTTCTCCTTTGGTTTGGGAATGCTTAGAGAAGTTAGGTGCAGGTAACCACTGAAATTATGCATGCAAGTATTAGTGTCAGTTATATGGAGAACAAAGTTCTGTTGCCTCTGCTGATGGTGTTACTCTGTGTTAGTAATGCCTGGAAGGTGGCACTGGTGTCAAATGTGACTTGGTGGAGCTCGTGACAAAAGGGTTCATGAAAATGATTTATTTTTTTTCCATGTATGTGCATATAAGAACTGTACGAGATTAACAGCAAATAAAGCCTAGAGAGGTAGAAGGTGTCTAAAAGCTGGATAGATTTCGACATGAGAGATCAAAATTTCCGGTGGAACAAGGACATGGATTTCAAAGTCCAAGAGTCCATTAAAAGTTTGCTCTGTATGCCAGCCAGCTGACGGCCTTACCCTGGCTGCTCTGGGAGCGGTGGGGTGACAGAGCAGAGGAGCTGGCTGTGGGAGGCTGGGGAATGTGCTGGGGGGCTGCCTGGCCG